TACCTGACTGACTATAAACTCTTCTAACGAGTACCATTCTTGTCGCCCGAAAAAAGCGATTTTGTTCCACATGAGGTTTTCAAAGCCCGCTTTGCGTCAAAACGCTCTCCAAATCCGAGATGAATTTTGCATAGAAACCTATTGGTGTTTCTGAATCATACAGTCTACTCCTGCTTGACCACTTTCCAAAGTGCCTGTCGGAGCAAATTAGCTCATTGTTTACACGTAATACACTACTTCTAAGGTTGCTGAAAACTCTTCGAAAGACCACGACCGGTTTCGTCTTTCTTGGGGCTTATCAGGTAGGCACAGTCCCCGAGTTTCCGTCAACCTTATGTTCTACTTGAAACCAAATTGCACGAAATTAGCGAAATACGCTCAATTGCAAACCAATTCGGTTTTGCGGGAGACTCACCTGGAACCCGACTCAATCTCTCGTTTATGATTTTTTATGAGTAGTGCACTACGTCTATACATGTATCACCATATTTCGAATATCGTAGCAACTGAAGTATGAGGTGGCCTATGTGCAGCACATTCAGTTGAAGAATATCATAAACGATGGATTTTGTCGAGTCTCCTGTGAAAATCAAATTGATTTGCAGATGAGTGTATTGTTGTCGTAAAACGTTAGTTCTCTCACTGGAAGATGAAATGAAGACTGACAAAATATTCAACGATGTCAAACGTGTCGGTAGAGCGGAGATGACCGAACGACTTACACAATTCCACGTCATTTCTTCTCGCCGTTTCCACTGGGATCTCGAGTAGCAGGACCGGGTCAAGTTCGGCGTCTCCTCGACCAGACAATGGAATGGCCAGAATAGATACCTGAAAATCGTGGAACATGTCAGACTGAGTGAATCTGAAGCTATCCACCGTTGTCCGTGCACATAAATTCCGTCAAAAACGTGTTTGACAAACACATTTACCCTCCATTAAATGCTGCCCATACAAAGATCACCCCCGAATTAGGACCACCTTTCTACCGAATAAGAGGAAATGTGTGCTGTGAAGACCACGCCCAAACAAAGACAGGTCAACCCTGTGAGAGTTGCTCCTCTGACAAACTGGAGCGCCAAATATTCATTTCACCAAATTCAGTTCACTCTACAAATGCCTGTTTCATGGGCACTAACCATACCTGGCATGCTTTCAGAAAGCCCACTAAGTGTAAATTGTATTGGTGCGCATATCTAGTGTGGAAGTAATACTCACAAAACCAAACACCTAGGTATGGCAACATCGTCACAGAACGTGCCACGACAAGTTCTTCGCATGCAATCACATCATGTTCGGATATCAGCCGCTTTTAATAACCGAACATCACATCGATTGGACGGATGTTTCAGGCTCGGGCTACGGACTAGACGAAGGTGTGTCCTGATTTTCTTCGCATGCACATCATGTTCGGATATCAGCTGCTTTTAATAACCGAACATCACATCGATTGGACGGATGTTTCAGGCTCGGGCTACGGACTAGACGAAGGTGTGTCCTGATTGGTCGGATTGGTCAGCCAATCCGCATCGAGCATCTATAGCTAAGCGCTTCTCGCCCCCTCACGAAGATGTTAGCGCGACCTTGTGGAACATTCTGTGATGACCTTATGGATGACCTTCCTTTGTCTCCATAGAGGGTGATCTCAAGCTATCGTGTCTTTTGATGTACCGCAGTGGGCGGGGCAGTAAGCCAAAGACCGACATAGAGGATGCACTAGCGTCAGAGCATGTCTTGAAAAAGAGCGGAAAGGAACAGGCTGGGGACCTAATAAAAAGCCCTATACACTTAAGGGGTTACCAACAGGGGGACTACACTTTAGAACAGAGAAGAGCAACACATTACAAGGCGCCATCAGCCGGATTGACCAAACGTTCTTTGCGAACCTCATCCGACAACATCCATTCAGAGACGTCGGTTAAGCAGTCCGGATAGGACGTAAAATGAGGCCGGTTAGGTACCGAGTTTTGTGGGATTTCTAGTCAGGTGTAAGCAGAACTACATGAAGGCGCGAAAATCCCAGACAGATTGTAGCCGCTTTCGAGTCACATCATGAAACGTCTTCCTCGTATGTTTCGGGGATATGGTTCAAAATAAAAAGCGGCTTTTGGTGGACGATGGTTGGGCATACGCAGAGCATGCACAAACTCAGTCAACCTGATAAATTATACTCGCTACTCTAATGGTTTTGCACCGTCATCAAGCATGCGTTTACGCACTACTTGCTGTGTACACCCCGTAATCAGGTGATCCGTGCTACATTACGAAGACACCGGCGACCAGGGTTTTGTAGTTATCAGGCGAACTGAGCCTACTCTTGCCTTTATTCTGCATATAGGCCCCCTAGGCTTCAAAAAATTGTTTTTGACACAAAAAATGATGCAACTTGACGAATGTTGCTCGAGCGTTTTCTGACTGCCATAAAACAATCGCGACTTATGCGGCTGCCAAGCTACAGAAACCGATAAAAAACCTCGAGGTCTTCATTTTCGAGAGTTTTAAAAGCGTGACTGAACATCCTGGAACAAGAATGCACCTCGAAGGTACAGAGGTCCACTTGGGGTGTTCTACACGGACTGGGATAACAGTTGATTAAAAAAAGCGAGGTCATCCACACAACCCGAGTCCATTAATTTTCCTCCAGGTGCCATTTCGATTCTCGTGTTTCGGTTCCCTTGGAGTTTGAAGGTCCACTAGTTGCGAGAAGGCTTTTGTACAGTTCACTGAAGACAACCAATGGCGCGAAGTGTGTTGAGATGATACTCATCTTTGTCCAACTAATTTTACAAGCGACATTCTGTCTTTGAGGTGAAAGAAAACGGCAATAGTTGGTCGGCGGTATACATGATGCTGCTCAGACGGTTTAGTTGATGTAAACGTGTGATGCTACCTGATGATAGATTTCTATTCGGTGCAGTCACAACTGCGACGAATTTGGTTGTAGATCAAAGAAACCGGGATTCTGGCACTCTGACACGTGGCGGGGTGCCGAATGGTTGAACTGCAGCTGCACCGTCACAAACTCAGAAGCGGAATGGGAACCTGGGCTTACCGAAGTAGGGCTGGGGCAGTTGCGACCCAACGACTTGACTCCCTGTCCCTTGTCTACCCACCTACGGTCTGGAAAAGTTGGGACCATCATGCCCATCACAGTGAGCAGACCTAAAAAAAACAGACTTCACGGCACTGGCCGTCACTGCATCTGCTTGTCGGTCCTTATCAAGCTAACTCGCTGCACGAGGACTGGGATACTGGCAGGTTGCCCAAGCCTAGACAGGGGACGTCGAGAGGCAGAGGTCGGGTTCGAACCACGAACCTTCCGGTCAGTAAATTCGCGCTCTAACCACTTGGACCATCTCGCCCTCATCAAGCCAATTGCTCGGTACACAAGCAAATATCTGCAATTAAGGCAGAGGTAACCAAAAGGCTATCTGCTGAAGCGGACAACCCTCTTTGGCACATCCCCACATTACCTAAGAAGCTCCAGTCGAGCCGAGAACGAAAAATTGGTGATCCATAGGCGACCAGATCATAACTTGTAAAAGCCAGGATTACGCTAGTTGGCGAAATCCACAGGTGTCATCTATCACGCCGGAGATGAGGCACCATCAACGAGCAGCAAGCGGCAAGCCCGTATTCATAGACCGGCGGGCCTACAGCACGGTTTGGTGGCTCCCTTCCCAATAGCCCCACTTGACAGACCTGTATTTACGCACCAATGTATCAAGTCCCGCCTCCAATGCGCAGCTACCTCCCCAAATCAACGACGGACGAAATTGCAGCAGCTACAACCACTGTACGACAAGTACGCGGTTCTTACAGCTGATAATGATTCTTTCTTCGTGTTCCTTGTTATCCAACTCAACGACAGCACAGCCTCGGTCCAACGTGGAAAATGATGATGATGACCTGTAAAATAGCGCGGATTGGTAATATTTACATCCACCGAGTGTACACGGCACACAAAAGAAACGTGTTTGGAAGAGCATTAACCTGGGGGCTTTGGCACAGTGACCTTCAAAGAGGGTAGGGGGAAACCAGATATAATCACATGAGAAATGCGTGGAAACCGTCAGAAATCGTTCAGCTGTAGCATCCTTTCGGTGCCTAACAGGCATGCCACCCGAAGGTTGCACGAGGGCTGGGATACTGCCAGGTTGCCCAAGCCTAGACAGGGGAAGTCGAGTGGCAGAGGTCGGGTTCGAACCACGGAACTTCCGGTCAGTAAATTCGCACTCTAACCACTTGGGCCATCTCGCCCGTCAGGAATACAAGAGAATAACAAGAGCATAAACGAGGCGATTTCTCAAATCCAGCGTTCCCTAAAGCTGGTCTGCATACAGAACGATGCATGTAGTTGCAGTATAGATGGAAAAACGGTGGACATCGTTATCGAAACTTACGTCAGTTGGTTTCCGCCCCACTGGATATAGTGAACGATCGGTGATTAGAATGGCGCGCGCACACCACCTGTAAGGAAAAAAAACCCATTGCGAAGCTGAGCCACGAACTAATGCTGTTGGTTGCCTAAACCTACACACACTGCCTGTTGTAAATTGCGTCATGCTCAGTTGCAGTGGGCCGCAACCGACATTCATAGATAAAATAGCATCTGAAACACTGAACAAGAGGTCGTGGAGCAATTGAGTAGCAACTCACAGCAATGAATAACACGGTAACTTTACGAGGGTCATTGTAGGGGGAGCAAAGACTCGATGAGAGCACACCACCAACAAATGCAGCGATACTTGAAACAGGGGATACGGCACTGCCGTACTAATAGAACCTTCAAAGGGATAAGTGATTCAACAATGGGATTTCTTCCATCAGAAACACCAAACCGTCAGAACCATGATCATTTTTGGGGCTCTCTCCAATGGCGGCTGTTTGTAGCCAATCACTTGAGGAGATTTGTATAAAAGAAAAACCGTGCAAAGTTGACATATGACGCCAATCACATTCCGGGACACAATTCCGTCCTAGAGGGATGCTTTCTACGACTAGTTTTCTGATAGAATGAAAAACTTTTGGTGTTTGTCATAAAAATCAATGCGAAACAACATATAGACGAGAATGAGAGAAAGAATGGGTGGATACCGGTGAACTTGAGTTTGTATCCACTGCTCGGGGGCACAGTCCGCTCCAACAACGCAACAGGTTGTCCGAACTTCGTGTCCGTTAGATAGCCGAGCGACGAACTGACGTGCAGAGCGCGTTGGTCCGGATTCGATAGTGTCCATTGCTAGTCTTCTATTGCCCGCGTCACCCAGTTGCGTCTCGATCGGACGGAGCGATACCAACTGGCAGTCAAGGCAAAACACCGCCCCAAAGACGGCAGACATCCTTAAAAGTGACGGTGACAATTGAACTCAGTGTGGAAACCGATACAATGGACGGGCATGATTATAAAAACAAAGTCGGGCACCAACAACACAGTAGAGTAGAAAAGAGTCCGGTCAACACGGAGTCATGAAGCACAAAATTTATAGCTCTGTACGGTGTAACCAACTGAAAAGTGGCCATTATGAACTTCAAATTGACGATTCGGTTCTGGTCAAAGATCTCCGCTACTGAAATCGGGCTGCCAAAGGATCCAAGACTGGGATTCTCCGACTGGTCACAGTTCGATCAAAGCGGTCTAGCTGGGGGGTTTATGCCCCGGCATGACCTTCCAGAAAGCATTGCGATTCTCTGTATACTCTCGTCATCCGAAGTCAACGTGTGTCGGGGCACACGCATATCCATGATAAACTTGGATGAACAAGGGGCGAGATGGCCCAAGTGGTTAGAGCGCGAATTTACTGACCGGAAGGTCCATGGTTCGAACCAGACCTCTGCCTCTCGACCTTCCCTGTCTAGGCTTGGGCAACCTGGCAGCATCCCAGCTCTCGTGCTTCCTTCGGGTGGCATGGCAGTTAGGCACCGAAGGGGTTCTACAGCTGAACGATTTGGATGAACAGAAGCGCGGTATTTCATTTGATCAGAACCAATCACCACTTTGGGTCGTCAAAATTTAACTTCTGTCTCAATATGTTGTCATCTTAGAAATGATTATGCTGTTTGTCCACCGCATCCGACCTCGGATGCTGATGCATGCAAGTAAAGCCTTTCAATAGCCGACAGAGCACTTTCCGCAATAGATTCATCATTAGAACAGAGGCAACGCGACATTGTGACCGTCGGGGGTTTGTGAAAACACAAGGATACTGTATAGGTGGAAGAACTTCATAGATGGGCTGATAAGGCCAGTGACTCAGACCCGATACCGCCACTGTTTGAGAATAGATGCGAGTAGATTAAACAGAAAACTCGATATTCACAAGAAGTCGAGTCTATACTGAGTGGCATTCAATATACAGAGGGCGCAAGCCACACCTTCATGGAGTGAAAGGCAGCGGTTACTCACCGACAATAGGACTGTGGCAAATCCCCGCAACCGTAGAGGGGCCATAGAATCGGGTGTTGACCGAAGCGATTCATGGAAATGAGTAGCCTTCGGATCCGACGAATGGCCTAGGACAGCGGAATGAATAAGTGGGAGGTTTGAAGTTGAGCTGCTCAGCAATTCTTGAACGATAGACCCTAGCACAAGGAAAGGGTCGTGCATGGTTACCTAACTGACGCATACAGAGTCCTTTGATTTGTGCGGTTCCATTCTTATCTCTCTCTCTCTCTCTCTATCCTGGACCCATGAGATTCTAGAAGAATAGAAAAGCGCGGGGAGCTACCCCGAGGAGGAAGTGGTAGCATAATATATACGACAAAATGGTGGCCAGACGATCTTATGTCGTGGAAACTGTGGCCAACCGGAGAGTTTGGTGCATACTGGATCACACATGATGTGCTCGTCATAATCGGGTTGCAAGGGAAGTCGCAAAACGTCTCCGTCGACTGGGATACACCGTCTTCGAGGAGTTGAGAGCACCTACTTCGACGTCCTTCATCAAACCTGACCTAATCGCTGTTCGAGATCGCCGAGCAACTGTAACAGACGTCAGCATAGTCTCGGATGGGCGCGGAGTGACTGTGTGCATGATGAGAGGAGCAGAAGTATGGTGCTGATGAGCATTCCCTCGCCATAATCTCCACCCTACATGCAATCGGTTGTGATGTCGACTTTTTGGTCCACCAACCGATGGTCATCTCTTATCGAGGGATCTGCTCTCCTCAATCCGCTAAGGCTGTTATTGGACTGGGACTTCCTAAGGTCGCAGTCATTGACTTGCGTTTGCTTGCCATTGTGGGCTCTCTGCGTACTTATAACACTTTTATGCGTGGCACATGGCACCAGACCCAGTATGACGGATACTTTGTGCCTGATGTGCGAGTCTTGACTGTGGTAGCACCTACCGCGCCTTGAAGAGCATTCAACATTGTTTGTCCTTTCTTCGGTTGTAGGTCTTTGGGAGCATGTTTCCATATCAAAAATTTNCCCCCACATTTTCCTGTTACTCTTTCGCACTGGTCGCTTGCATTCACTTTTTATGTTTGTGATCATGCTCTTCAAGAATAAATGATAATAAGTTATGATGTGTTTACTAATACACCCAGAAAACTTTTGCTAATCCGGATATGGTCAGCCCCTTATAACGACCAGTCTTGGGGGGGGGGGAATAAAAAGTGGTATTTGCCTTGGAACGGAGGCAACAAGTTTTGTTACTAATTGAGCATTCGTCTTGCTTTAGTTTGTGTGATTTTCTGTTCACGAAGTTTCAGCTTTGGGTCGAGATACCTCAGTGGTTAAAGCGCGAACTTACTGACCAGAAGGTCCGTGGTTCGAACCCAACCTCTGCACCTCAACTGCTCCTGTCTAGGTTTGGGCAACCTGGCAGTATTTCAGCCCTCGTACTTCCTTCAAGTGGCATGGCAGTTATGCACCGAAAGGGTGTTACAGCTGGACGATTAAATCCTGCACAGAGTGTCCATCGGGCATACGACTGGCATGTCAGGTAGTTGGATCGTAACTGCATCAACACTTTATGGGATTTTTTCTTTGGCGAACCCAGTTCCTCGTGTCGTCTCCCGATTCACTAATATCGATCAACAGTCAAAGCAGTAACAATCGGGCCATTTCGTACATCCGCTATGCGCCTTCACTTCACAACCTCTCGATATTCCCGGTCACACAAACACAGAGTGTCCATCGGGCATACGACTGGCATGTCAGGTAGTTGGATCGTAACTGCATCAACACTTTATGGGATTTTTTCTTTGGCGAACCCAGTTCCTCGTGTCGTCTCCCGATTCACTAATATCGATCAACAGTCAAAGCAGTAACAATCGGGCCATTTCGTACATCCGCTATGCGCCTTCACTTCACAACCTCTCGATATTCCCGGTCACACAAAGGCCAAGTCATCTGTTATCGAGCTGATTCAACGATCGTATCCGGAATCACTGTAGGGTGCTGATCACGGTACTTCTCGGTTGGTAGTCAAAAACTGGAGGTTTGGGAGCTACTAGGGTTGATAGTTCTGGAAAAGTGGATACCATTTTTCCGCAAAATGCTGAGAACACTGTTTGCGGGTGATCCATTTTTCAACGAGTGTAACGGGCGCCTGACGAGACTTATTGAGACCGCACCCATAACACTCTGACACCAGTTGACTCGGTGTACTACATACACCAAACGTGAGTCCCGCTTCCGTAAGAGCTCACTGCCGACTATATGCGGGGATTTGAACTCCAGTCAGATGAGTAGCGCGATTGGAGCATTTGTCCGATACAAACTGAGTGCATCCGAGCAGCGTATTTGGTGGTAGTCCGGTGAACTTCAAGACAACGGGAATACCTCGGGCTCGGGGTGGGAGATCTGACCTGAGAGTTCGAGTTCATTCTGAACTTTGAACTTATTCTGCATGGGTTTGGACAGCCTGAGGATATTTTAGCCTCTGTTACTGACCGGGCGGGGTAGCTAAATGTAGCCAGTAATCAGCTCAGTAATAACATGTCAGACAGCCTTCAATTTAACAAACCAAATGGAAACTGTCGGCCAATTAACGGGCACAAGTCGAGCGCCAAATCTACTTTCTGACAAAATTCCTATTTTATTAATTCGATAGATATGGAATAGCGTGGCTACTACTGAAGTTGGAGAGATTTCATTGAGACTGCATCCCACAGCTGAGCAAACTAGTCAGCAAATGAATGGATTTTGGGTTACCAGCCTACTAGAGTCACGTGACCAGTTCTTCTAAACCCGCCCGAAGATGACACTGTAACACCCTTCCGGTGCCTAGCTGCCATGCTACCCGAAGGAATCATGAGGGCTGGGATACTGCCAGGTTGCCCAAGCCCAGACAGGGGAAATCGAGAGGCACAGGTCGAATTCGAAACAGCTGACGAGATCCTCTCCCTCCAACTTCGGCACGCGATTCTTCCACCAGAAACCAAAGCCGAATTCGAAACAGTTGACGAGATCCTCTCCCTCCAACTTCGGCACGCGATTCTTCCACCAGAAACCAAAGCAGTTTAGAAACGATTCAGGAGAAACATTCACTCACCTCATCAGTCATGATGTGTTCTCCTGCCAGAGCGAGGTTGGTGGTGATCACCTCTTGAAGGAACTGGTCCAGGTTATGTTGCTCGCGGAGAAACTCACGAAAGGGACGAGTTGCATAAGCTGAGAAAGAATTAATACAAAGCAATCGAGCAAGAGATGGTCCCAAGGGTTCCGTGACTGCACCATAGGGTGGAAGACAACATACGCTACACTTATCTACCACGTCTGTACAACCTGAAGCTGGTAGTTAGAAGATGGTTCGTCTGGTATATAGAGGACCTACCTCCACCTGGAAACTCAGACTGTGGAAAAATAGGGAATTTTGGGGAAGAGTTCCACGGTGAGTTGGATCCGGGGTGACATACACACATGACGTTTAGTTAGAGAAACTTTGCCACGAAGTCATTACTCCTTGCTTTATTTAATATGGAAGGAAGGTGTGCCTGAAGTAATGGAAGGGCCGTCGACACTCCATTAGTAGTATGCTCCTAAGATAACTCAACTGTCCGTTCACCAGAAATCTGTGGTTAGCAGTGAACCAGTGCCGCCGTGTACGGGACATGACATTGTTGTTTTCTCTACACGGTCTTTGTCAAGGCTCATTTTCAAAACAGTACAGTAAATCCAGAAGGAGGGTTGACGAGCTCATCACCGAACAATCGATGCGAAACCCACCCTAACTGTGCGAATATCCAGACACTTGTGGATTACTTGAGCGCGAGAACACGAAGGACATCGCTATCAACCCTAGTTTTCTCAATTCTTACCAAGTTGGCAACTGGGAGAGGACGGAGCGAATAGGCCGATCGGGTTGACTCCAACTTACCATCATACGAGCCGTTTTGTGGTGCACCAGCAATCGGGGTCTGATTGTCGTCCACAGCCAGATTGAAACACCATTCGAAGAAAGCGCCCAACAATCGTTTCTGCCGCAGCGTGAGTAGTTTAGTTTTGAACATTTCCGACCGACCAACAGGTACCTGGAGTCGGTAAAGAGGGGGGGGGAGATGAACGAAAGTCTCACTTTAACAGCCGAGAGGTTCGTTTGGACTGGGTGTTTAACAAATAAAGTCAAACTCTGAGAACAGAACAGAAGGGGACGAGGAAGCGATCAAGCGTCTGTAGCTAAAACTAGCGGAAACTATTAAAACAGAAGCAACCCTACTTTCGAGAAACCCCGTTAACCTCTCGTCATGGATGAGCATAAGTGAACGTGTCTAGAAAAGATGGGGCGAGATGGTCCAAGTGGTTAGAGCGCGAATTTACTGACCGGAAGGTCCGTGGTTCGAACCCGACCTCTGCCTCTCGACTTACCCTGTCTAGGCTTGGGTAACCTGGCAGTATCCCAGCCCTCGTGCAACCTTCTTTTGGCATGGCAGCTAGGCACCGAAAGGGTGTTACAGCTGAACGATCTAGAGATGTCTGTAGCAGTAGACTCAAAGCATCCAACAAAGAGCATAGATCCAAACAGCTCGGCGCGGAACTATTGACCGGAAGGTCTGTGGCTCAAACCTGACCCCGGATTTTCGATTGCTGCCATCTCTAGGCTTGGACACAATGTCAGACCTCGCGCTTTATCTGGCAGCTATGTACCGAAAAGGATGCCACAGTTAAACGATTAAATTCAGTGTAAAAAGAGCAGAAGCTGGAGAGAAAGTAGAGCAACATGCACGTTGCTTCTAGCCGAGAACACGCAAAGAAAGAACAACACAACTGTGTGACTTTTAAAAGAACGAGGTAAGCAACACAAACTAAAGGTAACGCTTATTCTGCTGCTTAAGACCGCCTTATCTCCTGCTCGTTGATTTGAGTACTCTGCCCAAAAAATGCTTTACTTGATACGGTATCAGCAAAATTGTACCAAGACAAACATAGTCAGTAGTGTGTCCGTGAATTTTTGACACTGTATGACCCCAACAGTATGAAACAGTCGGGATGACCTGTCTACTCATTGGCAACAGAAAAATATTCACTTCGGGAACCTTCTAAATAGGAAATATCCCCCCGATCTTTTTGTATATCGACAAAACTACCGGGTAATCCAACAGACAAACATACAGTCGCACAAAAGCGCCGTTGTGAGAATCGAAACACTGACGAACACTGAAGAAATCGCTTCACGGAGGACTTTCCGGACCAGCGAGGTTGCACAAGGCTTGATCAGACATTGCATGTTCTATCGACAGTTTTGGGAACACCCAGTTCAATCGCCAAAACACAATGAACGAGAATGATTCTCCGCCCCCCCCCCCCCGAAATCGTTGGTGCGGCCGTGATTGAAAAGTAAAATTCAGATTGTTGTGTGTTGTGTGTTTCGGGCGAGGTGGGGACAGTCGTATAGGCCAAACAACGCGACACAAATCGGAACTCCAGGTAGCGAGTCACATCTGAACGCAGCAGTGCGGTCACAGTTGGACTGGTTGCGAATATAATCTGTGAAGTGCAAAAAAAACGGAGAAAAAGGACTTGCGAACCTTGTGACGTCACAGTTGGCCTACAACTGGGTCATAACACGTCACAAACAGTTTCAATAATTTCCCTACTTTCGGTGGCTGCCGGATGACCCCACAACTGGCGATTGCGTAAGCCCGGATGATGTCTCGTTATCGGCTCACCTCTTCTGTACGACCGGAATAAGGTGATACAGTACTCAGCAGGACAGTAATAGGATAACGAAAAAAGATAACAACAATAATAAGATAAGAAAGGGTATCTCCTTTGGGGGTGGACAACTTTCTGCAATTGGTCAACGAAGATTTTGCTATTATTCAGTAGTACGTCGTTTTGTCTTATTTTGCTGGGAACTTTACTTCAGCACTTTTGTGGCGGACAATTATACTGACCTACGTGGCGACTGTGTGTTTGGTCGTTGGGGTGATCCACTTTGTTTCAGGTGGACCAGTGAGAGAGCCACACAAAGGCTTACTTACAATGAAATTCAGTGCACTGCTCGCCAAAAACCTGACACAGTCATTGAGGGGCACAGTGTAGAGGATAGTGTGCCACGGCGAAAAAAACTCTATTCATCTAACCTTCGAGCAACGGTCTGAGTCGAGCTTAGAAGTTTTGGTTAGCTTGAATCGAATCGATGAGGTTCACCTTGCCAGCGTCACGTGTCGTCCAAGTTGGCTTTTATGAACCCAGTGAAACATGCATGGTCGTTGAGTGTTGAACCCTGACAAATATAGTGTCAGTGCACTCCATGGTCACTGACTGGTTTTAGAGACAGTTCCAACACTTGCACAGGGGTTGGGTAATACAGATTTCACACGCTGGAAACCTGGAACTTCAGGATGAATGACTTGAGTTGGTTAACAGGTTAACGCAACATGGTAGCTACATGAGTCACGATAGTACAGTTGATGCACACAATATTAGGGCGCGAATACTTCTGCCAAGTTGCATTAATTGTGACGTCGGAAACGAAGTTCATCAGAGCCAAACTGTTGTGTCTTGATGGACGACCGCGCAACTCTGTATCGGTCCCTTGGCTTCCTGCTCCACTCACTATGGTATATCAAAAGGCACGGTAGCTCTACACAGCCCTTTATGGAGATAAAGGAAATTATTACAACTGTATTTATAGGGTAGTCACAGAGTGTTCCACAAAGTCGTGCCAGAATCTCCGTGAGGGGGCGAGCAGCATCGAGTCAAAGGTGCTTGACTCGGACTGGCTGGCATTCCGACCAATCAGGGCGTGCCTTCGTCTGGCCCATGTCCCGCACGTGACATCCATCCAAATGATGTGGTGTTTGGTTATTAGGGACGGCTGGCCTCCGTACACAAACGGCCGTGTATAAAGCGCGAGTATGGGAGGAATAATACTTTATTGTTCCGAAACCTGGCCCCTCTGAGCTGAAGCTGGCTTCCGACACAGACGGCCGTGTATAAAGCGCGAGTATGGGAGGAATAATACTTTACTGTTCCGAAACCTGGCCCCTCTGAGCTGAAGACTTCAAAGGCCTTAATACACCCCCTTGTCGCTGAGTTCATAGCGATTTGAGATTCGGCTTGCTGCAACGTGTTCGCAACGAAATAGCGGCTAGAAACCCTAGGGGATATAACATGGAACCGCTCCTGGTCCGAATGTCTAGCTGAGAGTGTGTTGGGCCAGCACCCGGCAAGTGATTCTGGGTCAGACTAAATGATGTCTTCTAGGTTCAGTGAAATTCCCGGACGTGTTCATTTGATGGCTTCTTTAAAGAGTAGACACCTTGTGCAAAGGGGCACTCATTCAGGTGGGAAAGTCCCACTGAATTAGGGAACAAGGTTAATGGAAATTCGGGGACAAGACCTATCAGATGGGTCGAAAAAAGGACGAAACCGGTAGTGGGTTGTCCAGAAGTATCATTCGCCTGGTGAGTAGTGCCACGCAGACATGTTGTATGCACGGGCCTCAAGGACATTGGGTCGTTTGCACTAGGTCCCACCATTTCCCTTCTCTCCACCCTTCAATAAGAAGTTCTTTTTTCATGGCAGCTTAGTGCAAGTAAATACTACTGGTGTGTTACTGAAGACGATAGCAGTGATGTTGCGTGTCTGTTTGGTTTCCAGTTGTGGTACGACCCTTGGCAGTATTGCAGTTAAGTGGCACGGAGACAAAACATGGGTCGTTTTAGGTCCCACCATTTCCCTTCTCTCCACCCTTCAATAAGAAGTTCTTTTTTCATGGCAGCTTAGTGCAAGTAAATACTACTGGTGTGTTACTGAAGACGATAGCAGTGATGTTGCGTGTCTGTTTGGTTTCCAGTTGTGGTACGACCCTTGGCAGTATTGCAGTTAAGTGGCACGGAGACAAAACAGCCTAAGGTTAAAAAACGATCGATCGCAGCACATGATGGCTGTGCTCTGATACACTTCAAGGATCAGAACTGAAGACTATAAGCAGGGTGACCTGGAAAGATCAAGACAAACTGTCAGTGAAGTGATCAGATGAAGTAATCGATCGGATATATGTTCACATTACGTGTTCAAAGCATACGTTCTCAATGGGAACCCACTAAGCTTAACGAAATACCAACAACGACTAAATTGTGTGTGCAATTTTGGCGAGCAATGCGCGCGTGCCTATGCGTTCATGGCACTTTTAATACAGCGCAGCTCTCGTCTAACCGAAATTCAGTTTGCTGAGGGGGGAAGATTGATTCGAGCAGTTGTTTGTGTGTGGTAGACTAGACAGTGTGCAAGAAAGCGTTACCTTCCGCAACAGAACTCACCACGACTGGAAGTGTGTATGAACGGGGCGAGACCACTATGAACATTTGATCGCTGATGAATCAGGTAAAAGAAGCTCAAAGAAACATCTTCATAGAAATCAAAAGTGTCTCCTCGTGGGGAGGAAGTCTGTTAGAGGGGAGTGTAGCCAATACAAACTCCGGTAGATTTTACGACTCCTCTGAAGTGAATGACTCTGGAACGAATGCGACTCACATATACCGGCACAAAGTGGCGAGTTTATTTGGTGGTCGTCAGCTCCATCACTTACGCGATCGGGAAGAGCTAGTGGTTTCTTGATCAAGGTGAACTTGAACAATAAAGATCGAGTGGACAGCCACACACATAACCTTAAACAGCTCATTGGCAATCCATTGTAATTAAAACAGCCATGGGCTGGAGGCCCATTAGCTGTTCGACTCAGTCACGTCTGTTAGCAGCCCAGTCGATTTCCTCTCCCAAGAACCTGTTCTACGGAGCAGAACGCAGCCTAATTTATGGAGTTCGACTACGTTGTTCATTGTGGGGAGAATTGTATTTTGTAGAACCCACTTCGGTATTGCTGATTCACTATTATCATTCTAACATGAAAGGTCTCAAAGTCACCATGGCCTACAAGAAGTAATGCGTTGCAAGCCTATTCTCTGATTCGTCGCTGAAGAAAACAATGGTGTGCAGTTTGCAGTAGCGGAATTCCCCCAGACCCCGGGAGTACGTTTGTCCTTACTCACATCAATCTCGTTTGAACAATCCTTCTCGTGCGCAATTAGTCTGGTTGGTTCAAGCCATACAAGAGAAGCACTAGACTCGATTTTCTCACGTATTAGAGCTCAACAGCAGTGAATTTCATTGACCGTACCGGGATTTGGGTCCCAGACATGTGACACCCAAGGCGAGCGTGTTGCTTGAACCAACTTACTTTGAAAATGGTTTAAGGATGAAAAAATCGAACTGAACTTTAGAGGTGGTTGGTGAGCGGCACAAGGATGAGGATAGGTAAATCCACGGGGAAAACTTGGTGGCATTGCAACATACCTTGGGAAGCAAGTCTAGGTCAACTCGTCGCATGCGGGCTTCTACACTGGCTCGAGTCCACACAGGAGGGGTGACGTTCGAGGAAGAAGCTGATTGCGAGGATTCGCTATTGCTGACTGGGTGTTCACTAATCGGAGGGAAATGGATCAAAAATATTTGTCAGAGTAAAAATGACACGAACCAGCGTGGAAGACAAATTTCCGCAGCTTCAGACTATTATTCCCACAAGAACGTGGGGTTTAGACCTGATTTACGTGTTCGAATCATCAAAGAATGATAACGAGAGCCGTAGCATAGTCAAAATACTTTACCGAGCTTTTAATCAGGAATCGATATACTCTATGCCGTCGTTTTAATTGTTAAAGTGGTCCGTGGCCAATCAGGGCGTGCCTTCGTCTGGCCCATGTCCCGCACGTGACATCCATCCAAATGATGTGGTGTTTGGTTATTAGGGACGGCTGGCCTCCGTACACAAACGGCCGTGTATAAAGCGCGAGTATGGGAGGAATAATACTTTACTGTTCCGAAACCTGGCCCCTCTGAGCTGAAGACTTCAAAGGCCTTAATACACCCCCTTGTCGCTGAGTTCATAGCGATTTGAGATTCGGCTTGCTGCAACGTGTTCGCAACGAAATAGCGGCTAGAAACCCTAGGGGATATAACATGGAACCGCTCCTGGTCCGAATGTCTAGCTGAGAGTGTGTTGGGCCAGCACCCGGCAAGTGATTCTGGGTCAGACTAAATGATGTCTTCTAGGTTCAGTGAAATTCCCGGACGTGTTCATTTGATGGCTTCTTTAAAGAGTAGACACCTTGTGCAAAGGGGCACTCATTCAGGTGGGAAAGTCCCACTGAATTAGGGAACAAGGTTAATGGAAATTCGGGGACAAGACCTATCAGATGGGTCGAAAAAAGGACGAAACCGGTAGTGGGTTGTCCAGAAGTATCATTCGCCTGGTGAGTAGTGCCACGCAGACATGTTGTATGCACGGGCCTCAAGGACATTGGGTCGTTTGCACTAGGTCCCACCATTTCCCTTCTCTCCACCCTTCAATAAGAAGTTCTTTTTTCATGGCAGCTTAGTGCAAGTAAATACTACTGGTGTGTTACTGAAGACGATAGCAGTGATGTTGCGTGTCTGTTTGGTTTCCAGTTGTGGTACGACCCTTGGCAGTATTGCAGTTAAGTGGCACGGAGACAAAACAGCCTAAGGTTAAAAAACGATCGATCGCAGCACATGATGGCTGTGCTCTGATACACTTCAAGGATCAGAACTGAAGACTATAAGCAGGGTGACCTGGAAAGATCAAGACAAACTGTCAGTGAAGTGATCAGATGAAGTAATCGATCGGATATATGTTCACATTACGTGTTCAAAGCATACGTTCTCAATGGGAACCCACTAAGCTTAACGAAATACCAACAACGACTAAATTGTGTGTGCAATTTTGGCGAGCAATGCGCGCGTGCCTATGCGTTCATGGCACTTTTAATACAGCGATTCTCGTCTCTCCGAAATTCACTTTGCTGAGGGGGGAAGATTGATTTGAAAAGTTCTGTGTGTGTGTGGTAGACTAGACTCCAGTGGTTTGTGATAGTGTGCAAGAAAGCGTTACCTTCCGCAACAGAACTCACCACGACTGGAAGTGTGTATGAACGGGGCGAGACCACTATGAACATTTGATCGCTGATGAATCAGGTAAAAGAAGCTCAAAGAAACATCTTCATAGAAATCAAAAGTGTCTCCTCGTGGGGAGGAAGTCTGTTAGAGGGGAGTGTAGCCAATACAAACTCCGGTAGATTTTACGACTCCTCTGAAGTGAATGACTCTGGAACGAATGCGACTCACATATACCGGCACAAAGTGGCGAGTTTATTTGGTGGTCGTCAGCTCCATCACTTACGCGATCGGGAAGAGCTAGTGGTTTCTTGATCAAGGTGAACTTGAACAATAAAGATCGAGTGGACAGCCACACACATAACCTTAAACAGCTCATTGGCAATCCATTGTAATTAAAACAGCCATGGGCTGGAGGCCCATTAGCTGTTCGACTTAGTCACGTCTGTTAGCAGCCCAGTCGATTTCCTCTCCCAAGAACCTGTTCTACGGAGCAGAACGCAGCCTAATTTATGGAGTTCGACTACGTTGTTCACTGTGGGGAGAATTGTATTTTGTAGAACCCACTTCAGTATTGCCAATTCACTATTACCATTCTAACATGAAAGGCCTCAAAGTCACCATGGCCTACAAGAAGTAATGCGTTGCAAGCCTATTCTCTGATTCGTCGCTGAAGAAAACAATGGTGTGCAGTTTGCAGTAGCGGAATTCCCCCAGACCCCGGGAGTACGTTTGTCCTTACTCACATCAATCTCGTTTGAACAATCCTTCTCGTGCGCAATTAGTCTGGTTGGTTCAAGCTTTACAAGAGAAGCACTAGACTCGATTTTCTCACGTATTAGAGCTCAACAGCAGTGAATTTCATTGACCGTACCGGGATTGGGCCCCCGACAAGAGAAGCAGTGAATTTCATTGACCGTACCGGGATTTGGGTCCCAGACATGTGACACCCAAGGCGAGCGTGTTGCTTGAACCAACGTACTTTGGAAAATGGTTTAAGGATGAAAAAATCGAACTGAACTTTAGAGGTGGTTGGTGAGCGGCACAAGGATGAGGATAGGTAAATCCACGGGGAAAACTTGGTGGCATTGCAACATACCTTGGGAAGCAAGTCTAGGTCAACTCGTCGCATGCGGGCTTCTACACTGGCTCGAGTCCACACAGGAGGGGTCACGTTCGAGGAAGAAGCTGATTGCGAGGATTCACTATTGCTGACTGGATGTTCACTAATCGGAGGGAAATGGATCAAAAATATTTGTCAGAGTAAAAATGACACGAACCAGCGTGGAAGACAAATTTCCGCAGCTTCAGACTATTATTCCCACAAGAACGTGGGGTTTAGACCTGATTTACGTGTTCGAATCATCAAAGAATGATAACGAGAGCAGTAGCATAGTCAAAATACTTTACCGAGCTTTTAATCAGGAATCGATATACTCTATGCCGTCGTTTTAATTGTTAAAGTGGTCCGTGGGGGGTAGAACAGGCAGCCAAACAGCCAGACGAAAGCAGGTCTGTTCGGGAAAGAAGGTCATACCGGAAAACTCTTCGAGGAAGTCGGTTGACTGGCATACACAGCACGCGACCAAGCCAGTGCAACCTACGGAATGTGGTCAGACCATCTACCGTCGGCGAGTTATTTCTTCTGAATCCCAAATGCTGTACTTCAGCATTACTGATCCGGCAGTCCCACCAGACTCGGCCAATGCTCCGAAAACGTCGATGATCAAACACTGAAAGTTTTTGACGTCCTCAGCATCAGCCAGGCTTCTGATCGCACTGTCGTAAACTCGACCATTGACGGATAAGCTGACGTCACGCCTACGCCACAGGCGATACAGCTTCACGGAAGCTGCTCTGGCCTTCCTAAGCCGGATGGAAATATCATCTCTAACTAGAACTTATACAGCTAATCAAGTAGAGAAATTTGTCTACTATCTCAATCAGCTCATCCGAAAGCATGAGGTTTAGGTTTGATTCAAGCCAGTCTTGTATCGGCACTTGACACTTTGAAAGTGTGAAGCGCATGCCAAAACACGAGGTGAAATTATTCAGATTGTTTAACGTTGTCTGCGTCAGATTCTAGAACAGTTATGTCGTCTGCGTACACGATACCTGCCGCCAAAAGCACAGAGGCTAAAGTGAGTTTTCCATAATCGTATCAATGACGACGCTGAAGGGGACGGTTGCAAGAGTAGAAAGCAGACTTCAAATCAAGAAAGGCGATCCTTGTTGGTCGCTGAAAGCAGTGTCGCTGTTCCGAGATCCGCCTCAAGTTTAAAATGTGATAGATGCATCCATCCTTTTGCAGGACGGAACCAGTTTGGTTTGCATCTGCCTCTCACTGTGTTCAATCAACCTTCGAACCAGAGGGGACCCTCGATGCCCCAACTAGCAGGCTAATGACACAGTGGCTTCCACACACACTTCGTGTACCCTTGTGAAGAAAGGAACCACTGTCAACGTGTCTCATCATTCAGACAATTTCTCTTAACCCCAAACAGCATCAACAAATTGTGTCACGTGGGTAGGCAGAAGTTCAGCCTTCTTTGAATAAGGCTGAATTTAACCTGGTCCGCTCCTGGCACCTTGTCAAGCCCCAAGAGAGATATTTCATTGTCTTATTTCGAGGGAGCCACGAAAACTTCAAACTCCACGGAGACACAGCACACCAATTTTGGTTTTTGTAAGCACTATCTGTTTGCGGAATTGACAGAGTACGGACAATAAAAGCCCCTGTGTAGAAAGGATTTGTTTATTGTTAGGATGATTGCTTTCTGTCGACCTGTTCCTATAAGGCAGAGCAAACGAAGATCGAAGTTACGGCAGAGAAAATGACTTTGCTTTCAAATCTTGGGGATCTTGCCCTGGACAAAAGCATCTGAGGAAAGGTCATAGGTACAGTGGTGATGGGTGTCTCGATATGTGAACAAAAGCTATCCGGAGGGAAATGACCTGTGAAAAAGGTCCGAAAACCAGTGACCATGGACTACTCAAACAATGAACGAATCTGCATGAGCAGAATCGAAACGCGAAGCGCCGACCGGCAAATCACGACAGGTTCGCTTGAATTCACGTCAATAAAAACATGCCATTGTATGTCATCTGTGTAAGTCATCGTACTGATGATCAATCGATTATAACCGAACGACATAGTATTCAACTGGAAATCGACAGTTATGACAGTTCCTTGAGATTCTTGAATCGTGCACTGATAAGGATTCCCGAAAAGAGTGAACCAGCTGCATCGCTATTCTTCACTTTCACTGGTAGGACAAAAACCCAATACATTTTAGGATCTAACATGTAAAATTTCTCAACTGTACGCGCCGTTCGTCCAGTTATGCGGAAAACATGGAAAGATGATTGAAACAGTCTGTCTCGAGCTAGCTGGGCAAAACAGTGATGAGGTCACAGGCCAGGAGACAAAACAACAAGCAACCATTGCAATATAGTATCGTCAGTAAGGGCAGATTCCTGAAGATTATCCCAGAATACCCGAAACCTACTGAGACCCTTGAACTTCACTAAACACCGATCAGACAGCCTTGGATCAAAGCCAGACAGTGCCCCTTAGATATATAGAGTGAGACCGTTGTGTCTTTCACGGTAACTCGCTTGTTCACAATTAAGTTGCTGTGTTCCTTGTCGACGAGTCTTTATTCGACGTTAGGCACTGGGACTGGGACAGCAGTCAGATATAAAAGTATTCTCACCAACACAACAGTATATATGTGAGGTCGACTGGTATTCTCATTTTACCAGCGTCATGGTCCTGCTGGACAAGCTGTGACTACTGTAGGAGCCATGCTTTTCTCTTCTTATCATTCAAAGGCACGGCGGTGAAGCATTATTGTCAACACTGATGCTGTTGCTGATGATGAGTATAAAATAAAAGCGAATAAGGCACAGCGATATCTTAGCGAGACGCCGCAACAGTCAACCTTCACTGGGCAACTTCTAAACATGTTGCCAGCCAGTAACCGGTTGAGATGACGATACACATAAAGAAAGAAAGAAAGCGTTCAGCTGTAGCACCCTTCCGGTACCTATCTGCCATGCCACCCGAAGGAAGCACGAGGGCTGGGACACTGCCAGGTCGCCCAAGCCTAGACAGGGGAAGTCGAGTGGCGGAGGTCGGATTCGAACCACGGACCTTCCGGTCAGTAAACTGCGCTCTAACCACTAGGGCCACTCGCCATAAAGCTCCATTCCATAGTTCGAGCTGTGGTAAACCCTCGGACGAAATCGTGAAGTGCCCACTTGTGTGATCTATCTGCCTGATACCACTGTTAGACTGTCAGCAGTTAACTGTATATGGTGTGTATGTAAACCAAACGAACGCTGAATTGTGGAAAGATCACGCCGACTATACTACTGCCCACCTGTGTACATGAAGTGGACGAGTAACCTGTAGATAAGTAGGTGGGATTACGATACTTAATCTGGCAGCAAAACCGATTGAATAGATAGATGAGAAAGAAGAGAGATGGAAGATATTCACTAAGACCATAGACATGACCCAAAGCACGGCTATTTCTGCTCACCTCATGTAGGGAGCCCAGCCAACACTGCTAAAGTCCCTATCACCCTTGTGCATTTCAAAGCCAGAGAGTTTGACGGCATCCTTTGTCTACATGACCTTCAGAAGACAAATAAAGCTAAGGGGAATTCGGATATCAGTTTTGAAATGTTTGATCGAGGTGACAAACATCTGCGGCTATGTTGTCTGAGCATTCGACGCATTTTACTTTCATAAACTGGTACAAAGAATGTGCCAAGCGACCAGGTGTAAGCGGGCAAATCACCTTCCCGTGTGGTATCAGGGCAAACAATTTGGCGGAAAACTGATACTTACTCAAGAAACCACATTGCAGAGCATCTGGAAGGGGCTGAATAGGAAGACTTCCCAAATTGTAAGACTCCGCCACCAAGTAAATTCGATTCATCTTTGCCCTCGTGAGTAACATCCTAAATGGAACATGTGGTGGAGTAAAACTTCGACAAAATTTCAATGGAACTCACCGGCGACAAAAGTAGGCTAGCCAAGTCTTCAAAACGAATCGAAGCAGAACTTCCTCCGTAGTAGTTGTTTCTGACAGCGATACATATACACGAACAGTAAACTTACTGGTCAATGTGCAGGACATGTTTCCCCAGAATGGACAGGCTTGCAGAGAGGATTGATTCCGGTAGACCTGTTATAACAGTGGCCAGAAATGCACATAGTCCCAGTAGATAGAGGATGAAGTTCAGCTTATGAGAGCACTGACTCACAAGGATGTTTTAATGCAGCAAGCTCTTGTATAAAAAGGCCAAGTCGGTTCGCCGAAAACTTCAGTCAGAGAAACCGTTGACGGACAAAAGCATGGGGCAATTAACTATCTTGTATAGCATCAACATTGAAATGTCCTTGGAAAGCCAATTGTTGAGTGGTTGTCTAACTGAGCAAGAGAGAGTATTCGTTTGTGGAGAGCAACAAACAGGTGACTCATACGACTCACTGACTTATCTATCAACGCGGCCAACCAAAAAAGCTCGTCTTGAATACCATATTCTGGAGAAACCAGCTCTCAAAAAGTTGCCTGTTGGTCATTCGAAACACCTTTTAAAGATACTACGATCACCACTGACCACTCTTGACCAGGCTTTTGGGGAGGTCGTTATAGAGGTCAATAACTCAATGAAAATACACACGTTACTCCTGTGAGAAGGACGCTTCCGAAAGCCAGTAACACTGGGAGCCCACAGCAAGGGTTCCTATCGGCCAAATTGTGTGGTACGGTCCATCCCCCGCAAGAGAGACCGGTCTCAGAAAAGGTGAGTCTTCATTTTACGTGGTGACCTGTATTAAGAGGGACAGTGCGGGACGAGGTTTATTAGTGGTTGGTAAAGCCGACACATTAAATGCCAAGGAAAACTTTCCTCGCGAAAGTATCTCCGAACGATGATGGTGCCTCGCTATGGGACTTGGCTTGACTACTTGGGGCTAAACAGGGACGGCTGAGACAAAGGACATACTGAGCATCGTGAAAGGCTGAGGTCCATCAGATACAAACAGATACAAACTTGATGGATGGTAACCAGTCTCCAAAGGGGAATGAAGCCCTGAGTGTCATACCACGAGCTGTATGTGGCAGGAGGAAAGGATTTCCCAAAAGTGCCTAGTGCCCCCAGTCGTGAAGCCAGCCTATTTGTAAAACGTAACAAGCTGAAAAAACGTGCACGATTGAAATGCTCCAGAAAGTGGGGAGCAATATGTATATAGCTATCACTGACGTCACGGGAGTTTTTCCGAAAAGAGATATGACCAGAGCCACCGAAACAAAAGGGAGAGAGTAAAACTTGCTGAGTAGCAGATCATGGTTGGATTAACTCACCGGTCCCATAAATGATGCAGTCTACATCCTCTGGGAAGTCCATATTGTGCAGGCTCTAAGGCAAAAACATTGAACTTATAGGGGAAGGACCTGTATAAGTGGAAAAAGTAAACGAGATATAGTTCCATCCTAGAGAGAACACCTGCTTCGATGAATATCAATTACTGGTTAATTGCATTCGGTGTCATTACCATCATGGACAAGAATAAACCAGCAGCAATATGTGGTACCTAAAACTCATAGCACCGTTAGGAGTAAAAGTAAGAGATGAGCGATGGAGAACGGGTGGAAAGTGAATGCGAAAAGTCTGTTCCGCCAGAGAAAATGATCAAGAGGTTTGAAAGTTATTACACAATGGAGGGGTATTGTTGAGGCTTGATGCCGGTAGCAAGATCGATCGAGCATTGTTGCAAAATTCACCAGCACAACCCGGGTATTAGACGGACAAGCTGTAACCGGACAGTCCAGATATGACGTAACAGCATGCTTGACAGTGAAGTCATACCGTGCAGGGTTATTGACAGTGGATGGCGCTGGTGGGTCAATCGCACCCTGTTTCAGATAATCCGAGCGACTGGTCCGAGGATAGGTGTTATTGAAACCCTCCGAAAAGGATGTGACGACGATCCATTCACAGGACGATGAGCTTACCACATTCCGCCAGAGAAAATGATCAAGAGGTTTGAAAGTTATTACACAATGGAGGGGTATTGTTGAGGCTTGATGCCGGTAGCAAGATCGATCGAGCATTGTTGCAAAATTCACCAGCACAACCCGGGTATTAGACGGACAAGCTGTAACCGGACAGTCCAGATATGACGTAACAGCATGCTTGACAGTGAAGTCATACCGTGCAGGGTTATTGATAGTGGATGGCGCTGGTGGGTCTCAAAAGCCTAGGGAATGGAGATGACTTTTGTAGCAGGGGACAATCGCACCCTGTTTCAGATAATCCGAGCGACTGGTCCGAGGATAGGTGTTATTGAAACCCTCCGAAAAGGATGTGACGACGATCCATTCACAGGACGATGAGCTTACCACAGTTCATTTTGGCCCTATCAACTCAACCTCTTGGAGGACCAAGTGAACCCGAGCAGGACGCCCACATCAGTCCGCCATCGAAGATTGAAGTCCAGCGTATAGTCTCATTGCTTCAGCGCAATAAACCACCTGTTCTGCAACATGCAATCTTCAGAGAAGGTGGCGAGTCCGTAGTGGCTAAACCCAAGATCCCACTACAAAATGTCTGGATTGAGGAGAAGCTTCCAACAAATTGGAGCTTTTAGATCCCGATCCCCATATTCAAAACGGTAAGACTTGTGTGTAAGAGCCAGCGAGGCATCAACCTAGTTGCTATAGCTTCCAAGGAGTTCTCTGGAATCATCCTGCACAAGGTGACCCATCATCAGCAGTCATATTTACGAGAATCAAGCTGGGTTTAGTCCTGACCGGGGTTGCATCGATCACATCGATCACATCCTTCACCATGTGGCCGATGTTGGCACTAGGGCTTATCCTTCTGGCGACTACTGATGTTCGTATTTCTGGATCCCAAGTTTTCGTTTAGCTTCGCTGATTGTCGGGAACTGGCAGTGTTTGATGAGGAAATGTGTCACTTCTGAATTCTCGTCTCTTATGAAGGTTTTATATCATCATCATCATCAATGACAGCAACATCAGTGTTGGCACTGATGCTTCACTGCCGTACGACAGATCCTCTCCTGAGTTCATCACATAAAGTGGTGTCAGGCAACGATGTGTTTTCAGTAATCAGTATTCAGCTTGAATCTTCTTTGCCTACCTAACACCGCTGGGGTCGAAATACTGCTGGATGGTTCGCTCACTGGAACTAAGTACGTCGGAGATATTGCTATCTTTGGATCAGGACACTTGGAACTACAAACTATTTTAAACAAGCCAAATGAATATGTTGCACTGCTTGGGATGCGTTTCGTGCCTGTAAAGTGCTGCCGTAAGACTGGGTAGGATGAAACCCGAACCGATTAGTGTAGTATAAGTCTATCTTTCCTGGAAGCTATGTAAGTCCTGGCGGGCAAATGAAAGGCGAAATCACTTCCTCAATTGGGAAGGCCAGGACAGCGTTTGTCAACCCACGATATTTGTGTCGCCGATGTGATATCAGCTTGACTATCAAGGGTAAAGAGTACAATACTGTGGTCAGAAACGCTGCCACTGCGTGTGGAAGGACTTTGAAGTCCCTTTGTCTTTGACCGTAGACGGCTCAGGGGGGCGAGGTGGCTCAAGTGATTAGAGCGTGAACTTACCGACCGGAAGGTCCGCGGTTAGAACCCGACCTTTGTCTCTCGACTTCCCTGTCTAGGGTTGGGTAACCTGGCAGTATCCCATCCCTCGTGCTTCCTTTGAGTAGCGTGGCAGCTAGGCCCCAGAAAGGTGTTACAGCCGATTTATTTTTTTGTAAATTTTTCTGAAGCATTGCGCAAGTCAGGTGTGAACACCACATAAGTACTCTCGAAGTACGCGAGTTGGCTTTCTGGAAAGCTCTTCCTCCCTTGATCGATCAGCTGGTCACACTCCACAGATTATGATAGTTAGGTCATGTGCCTTGTACGCCAGAGGATCACTTGGTTCGTAGAGCCCTCTTCGCCCAGCCTTATCGAATGGAGACGACCCAGGGGCAGTCAGTCCATGACCTGGCAAACGAAGTATGAAAGACCCTGCTGGTCAACGCAATTGGGTTGGTGAACGCTATCTTCCCAGAGAGGCACCCCTGGACAAGACAAACCAATGGCTAATGGTAGATATGGCTACCTCACGCAACCAATGTGGGTCATGCATCACACCAGTCGCCTTCAATGCGTAGCTCTCCATCCCTGTCACATACGCTTACGTTGAGGAAGCCCATGCAGTCATCGGAGCTGCGCGGAGATGGTACCATTATCTGATGGGCATATCCCTCCAACTTACGGGTGAACAGCAATCTGCCACTTTCATGTACGAGTTGAAGATGGTAGCAAAAGTAACGAGAAGTTGAACGATGGGGGACCAAATTATCAGCGCATAATTTCCAAATATCCGGACTGGACAGTTTGGCGGCTGATACTTTATCACGTGTAGTATGTTTTCCACGAACCCACTATACCCTTGAAAATTGTATAACTCGCGCAGCCCCCCTGGTGGCTAATTTTGGACTTTCTAGAAATTTACCTTATGTTGAATATACTATTTTTGATCGTTCGACTTGTACTTTGTGACCATAATTACTTTACCCGAGCAATATCAAATTCATCAACACTGCTTAAGCATTCGGACGGCTCAGCCTAGAGTTGAAAAGGTTTATTCCGTCGCCAGTTCGTAACGGCTTTTTACATGTAGCCACTGACGAGTTTTTCATGCCGAAGTATGAAAAAAGTTGTGACGACTTTGAGGTGCATAGCTGCCATAGCACCCAAAGGAAGCACGAGGGTTGGGATACTGCCACGTTGCCCAAGCCTAGACAGGAGCAGTCAAGATGTTGAGATTGGGTTCGAACGACGGAGCTTCCGGTCCGCAAGCCCTAACCAATGAGCTACCTCGAGTGTGCATTCCATGAAGAGTTGGTTTTCTCTTGAGTATCCACATGGCATCATAAGTGAATCGAAGTGGACCCTCACACCCAACATATGCACACCGCATATGCGTGATGCAACAGTATCGTTAGACAGGGCTAGTTTATTCATGACTATTTCTGCACAAGGAAGACACCTCATTAACCGAAGACCAATAGGAAGGGCTGCACATCACCGACAATT